CGAGCTGTGTTGTCACAGCGAATTGTGTTGTCTCCCAGGCCAATGCCTCTCAATTGCCGCCCATTGGCACTGTCGATCACTGTTCAGACTTCAAGTTGAGTTGTGGTGGTACTCATGTTTAATAATGGGGCAATAATGTGCAGTCAATAAGGAGAGAGAGAGAGAATGAAGCTTTACGACTGTTTGTATTATCGCCTGCACCTCACTCTGTGAGCATCTCTTTCCCTCTCTTTTATTGCCATATTTTATGCGGCACTACTTTTGATGATGATGATGCACACGCACACACACTTTGATGGTCGATTAGTGAACATTGCTGCTAAAACGGAAGCCAGGAAGTTTTGGGGTGGAATGGTTTTAATTCAAAGACAGAAGCAGCTCAGAACAGTTCTCGAGTTTGAATTGATCTGCAAAAAAAGATGCCTGCCTGCCTGAATTGTCCCCTCAAGTGATAATAGTTTTGGTTCCTTTGCCAGTCTGTCTGACTGTCTGTTTGTTGTCCATTCGATTGGCCGCCAGTGATAAGCAGAAAAAGAAGAAGAAGAAGAAGAACCGACTAAAAAAGGAGCAGTGAGGCGAGTGCTGCTGCTGCTGCCGCCGTCGATGTCCATTGTCCATTGCACACCGATGAGAGGAGGTATCCCCAGCGAATCAATATGAGCGCATTCTCTGCCATTCAACTCTGGCATTGTCCGCACAGTGCTCGCACTGACTTGCTTGTTGTTGTTGTCTGCGCGGCACTCTGCTTTGTCAGCAGAGGTGGCCATTGTCAATGCTGAAAGAAGGGGAAGAACGANGCGGCTAGGTCTGCTGGCGCAGACAATGTCCGTCGGTGTGCTCTGCCTTGTGGACTACTATCTGTTCACTACCATCACCACCATCACCACCTTCAATTCTTTCTTTCTTTTGCCGAATCGATTCTTTAATCTTTTTCTCTCTTTCTCTGAAGCCGTCGCTTTGACCATTGGTCGGTCGGTCTTTTACCTTTTATTTCCGACCATAATAGGCAGTCTCTTTCTGTCTCTCTCTCCCTCTCTTCAGATGATATCTACGGTCAATTCGATTGAAGGGAAGAGAGAGAGAGGGAACCGTACCGCACGAGAGCTTCTTTCTTTTGTCTTCTTTTTCTGTTGAGTATTTTTGCTGCCGAAGAGCTGCACACTGCTGTGTTTATACTTTTGCTGCTGCTGTTGTTGTTGCTGTTCCATTCTCCATTCTTTCCCTCTCTATTCTTGGAATACCTTTTTCGTACTCATCAATTGATGCGCCTTCTTCTTCTTCCTCTCAATCGAATGAAGTGCCGCTTTTCGAGTGTAGCAATAGTAATTGCAGTGGCACACACGAGAGATCGAGCACCAGATTCGAGCAACTCGGCGCTGCGCCCGTCACTTTTTCACTTCACTTTGAACTGGCAATTGCCGCCGATTTGCTGCTGCTGCCGTTGATTGCCGGCGGCTGTTTGCAGTAGTCAAACGACAACGGCGGCGGCGGCCACTTTGAATTGCACATCGGCACAATTCTGCAGGCCCAATTCTGCTGCTGCTGCTTCAACCAGGGTCGAGCGGCAGCAGCCGCAGCAGAATTCCTATTACCGCCACTCTTTTACGTCTCTCGTTTCCTGACTGCATTCTGCTATTCTCTCTATCTCTCTCTCTCTCTCTCTCTCTCTCTCTCTCTCTCTCTCTCTCTCTCCTTCTCTGTTTGACTGCATTCTTCTTTATTATTATGCACTGTTTGTACTGGGCGCGATTGGCAGTCGTTTGGCGACGAGCTGTCCGACGACCTCAACAAAAAGAGAATTGAGCAGCAGCAGCAGCAGAATTATATTGTGGTGACCAATTCTTGGTGGCGCACTTTTGCTTTTTTGCACTCGGTTTATTGTCCGAGTGTGTGTTGTCCGAGTGTGGACAGACAAATGACTGCTGTTGCTGCTGCTGAAGAATGGATGAATTCTTTAGTGTTTTATATTATTCTGTAGAAGGCATTCTCTCTCTCTCTCTCTCTCTCTCATTTTATTCCATATTGACTTGCACCACACATTCAGTCAGTCAGTCACCACACAATGCTACTGATTGAACTCTTTGCAATGTTTATTTTCACTAGTGAGGAGCAATCACTAGAAGGGCAATAAAAGATGAAGAGAGTTCTCTTAGGGCTACTGAAGAATAAAGTGCTGAATTATATTCTTTTTTTGGGAGAGGGATTGTGTGGTGCACAACAAAAGCAGATCACCACAGAGCAATCTCTGTGCCTTCTTTAAATTAAAAACCAAGACAGTTTTTGCTGTTAATTTATTTATTAAAGCCTGATGATGCAGCTACCAAATTGGCCTGCCGTTATTATTGCCTCCATTAACAACAACTGACTTTGTAATGAGCTGCTGAATGCAGTTTATACTGTCACTGCTGCTGACAATATAAATGGTTCACACTTTTCCTTTTGTGGCAAAAGTTTTGAAGTTTAAATTTTGCTGCTGTTCAATTGTGTGTTCAATTCTGGTTGCCCAGTGCCAGTTCAATTGAATTGACAATGAATGCCAGCGTTGGAATGTTTAATTTGCTGTAGAAGCAGCAGCTCAAGAATCATTAGGTTCCCTCTTCTTCTCCTCTTCAAAAACTGTTGTGCAGAATTTATTTTGTATCTTTTGAATCAGTGGACAGTTTTTGTCAATACACTTTACGATTTTGATTTGATTTGTGCTTTTTGAAAAGACTTTTCAGAACTGACTGTTTGACTGACTGACTGATTATCTGATCTAGTGTCAAGCTTATGCAAATTGAGGTAGTAGTAGAGCACTCTGAGAAATTGACAGATTTTGATGATGAAAAAGTTCCTTTTATTAAAGCTACTACTATCACCATCATCATCCTCACTGTCGTTTATTACATTTACATAAAAGTGTCATTAACTTTAGGTAGAAAGGAGAGAGGCACTCAATTGAGTTGATGATTTGATGACTCGAAGCCGAGAGAACTTCTTTTCGATTTTCGACACACCGTTTGCCCCATCTAGTGACTGCGCTTTTAATCTTTGATCTTTTAGTTAAGGAGGAGATCAGGAGTTTTATTTTGAGTTTTGATCTTCTTCTCTAATCTCCTCCTCCTCCTAGCGTACAGTTGGTGACCAGGCCGCCGATGGGCGTGTAGAGGAAGTGACAGCTGACGACATTGTTGCGGAAGTTCGCCTCCGGCACCTTCTGCTCGGGGTTGATGCGCACCTGCAGGCGGTAGGCGCCCGGGCTGATGTCGGTGATGTCGATCCACTGGCAGTCGAGGTCGTACTTGTAAATGTCCACTACAAGAGAAGTCGTTAGATTCTGTTTTCTAAAACCAACCTCCCCAAAAACTCACCACAGCCGACGCTGATGCCCTGGTCGCCGTAGTTGGCGCAGACGAACCGTTTGCTGGCGTCCTCCTTGCAGAGATTATCTTCCAGGCAGAAGCTGGCCTTGTGCCCCTCTGCCACCCTCTCTCCGGTGCCCAGGCTGAAGAGGTCAAAGTGGGCGAAGACCTCCATGCTGTGGTAGTGCCGGTGGCAGCTGTGCCAGATCCAGGCCGCCTTGGGGGCGTCCGGGCGGAAGTCCACGCGGCCGATGTTGTGGATGGCGGCGGTGAAGCGGAGGAGGCGGCGGCTGCCGAGGATCCATTCT